CCTGAGAAATTTCAGACATATCCAACTGGGAAACTTTGAACTGATTTGAACAACAGGATTTACCTATAATGCAGTCTCTAAAACTTCCAGTCAATCCTTTAAACAGAATTTAATTTCCAATTAAGCTTTCATAAGACATTTCTAATTTTAATCTGCACTTGTTTTGCTGCTTATTAGCCTCAACACGCTAAAGAGAAAGGTTTCTAAAGTCAAAACCTAAAATTTATAAGAAAGCTTGGTATGGAAACTGCAAACCAGCAGAAGAGCAGTTATCATGAAATCTTACTTCCTGTATTCATCAGATATCTTAGGGTTTTTTTTATCAAAAGGTCACTCCACCCTTTTATGACACTTATGGGAATCAAATTTTTATGTATTAAAAAGGGCATTTAAAATGAAATGGTTATAGTGGATTTTGATTGACTTCATTCCAGTATCAATTTTGCCGTTCGATTACAGTTGAATTTTGAGTTCTGTCCATAAGTTTGTAATTTGCCCAGAATTTTTGGAGAAGAATTTAGAGAAGTTGAAGTGTTGAATTTTAATAAATGCTTCCTTTGATTCACATCTGCATATTTTGGACACTTAGAAATGTCTGTAGGAAAACTGGATATGCTTTTAGGGATAGGTTTCTCTTTTTTTTTTTTTTTTTTTTTTATAACTTGAATCTCTCCCTACAAACACAGCTGTATGTCCAGCACATTTTAACCCAATTTAAATGGAAAAATTGAGGTAGTTCATGTAAATGGATTCACATAAAAACTAGTATCTGGAAGAATGTTCCATTGTTAGCAAGTCAATAATTATGTTAAATCTAATATTTTTGATTTCTTACCAAAGTTGTGTGTGTCCGGCTCCATTAACCAGAGTAAGGTCATGTCATGTTACTCAACTGCTGGCTGAGTTAAGAATGCGATTGCTTGCAAATTCCTAATTACTACGTGGAAAGGTAATGATTCCTTTCCTGTTTGCTGTACAGATGCTGCTCCTGCCTCACAGATTGTTACTCTTGCAACTTTGCAGAAATTTATTGGTTTTAACTTAACTTCAAATGTGGCGAACCAACTGTGTATCAACCTTTTATTTGGGGAACATTTTCAGCTATTCTAGAAAACTGCTTATGCAGAAGTGTTTGATTTTTAACAATTGAATTGGATTTTAACTTAAAATATTTTTTTTTTCTTTAAGTAGCATAAGAGAAATGCTGGTGGAGGGGAAAATTACATATTCAGTTAGGGTCTGTCGTTTGGGAAACATTATTTCTGAACAAGAATGCCAGGCAGAAATAAAATGGTTTCACAAGCAGAAGCTTTTTCCTTACCAAAAGCTTTCTCAGGAAAGAACTGGAATATTTAGCGATATTTTCAGCTGCCAAGGAACTGTTATCTTGGCCACATAATGCATAAATGGAAAAGCTGTAATGTACAGTCACTAAGTTCTCGTGGTTCAAGAAATTAATATATCTGGTGAACACTAAGTAATTCATTATCGTACTTCACTATCTAAATTTGTATAGAGAGCAAGTTGCCACTAATTGAATCTAACCCCAGGAGATAAAGCTAGAGTTGTCATGAGACTTGTTAACATTTTAACAGTAATCTGAATTTTTCTATTAAGAAAAGACCTTTTTTTTTTTTCCTTACTTTTAAAATAAAACCCCACAATCCCCCTCTTCAAACCTAATCCCCAGTACACTTAATTTACCTCACAAGGTAGTTTTACAGAAAGAGGAGGAAGTGTTCATTTTAGTTGCAACCCGTGTCTCTTTTCATTTTCAGCGCTGCTCTTCTTTGTGCACAGGTCCCCTTAGTAAGCCCAGAGACTCCTGAGTTATCTCAAAGCACGACAGTGAAATTTTCAGGGTTTTTTTGCCGATCCTCTGCTTCGAAACACTTGAGATCTCCCATCGGAACGACAGCAAGGTTTAACGTTGCAGAACTTAAAATTGCTGTCTCACCAGGTAAAAAGCTGGACGTTTGAGGCGCTCAGCAAACTGGCCTGCTCTGCTTACACTCGATCTTCATAGATTGCGAGTGGCAGTTGTTGATGGTCTCCTATAAACGGCGTAGTCTGGGGGCCGCTCGCCGTTAGAAGGCAGGAGGCTGGAGAGAGGAACAAATACAGATCTACACACTGGTGTAATGATCGACGAGAGCAATAACAAGCAATCAGTTTTCTTATTTTTGGCACGGATCTCCAAAACTGTTTATCGAAGGTAGTGTTACTAAAATTAATGATACAGCAAAGCCATTTAACAAGCTCGTTTTTGAGAAGCACTTTAGTCCTCGCTCTCTTGTGTTTCCTCATTTCCACGTTTAACTGCAGTGGAAAGACAAACAGTGGTGACCTCCCAGTTACATTATGCTTTGAGGCAGGTATGTACTGGGGGAGGCCAAAACATTAAAAAACATAAAGCAACACACCCCACACCCCCCCCATGCTGGGTGTCTTGTAGTAGGTTCTTTAAAAGAAACCAACACCTGTTGAAATAGTTACTTCAATGTTTGGCACAAATCCCAAGCAAGCCTTTTTTTAACAACAAAAACATATGTACGGGCCAGGCAAAAAGCACAGCTAGTTCTGATATTGTGCTTTTAGCGATCTGCAGCTCTGAGTTAGAGGGGCTGTGACTCATTAAGTGATACCAGCGCAGAGCATTTCTCTTAATTTCACGTATTGCTTGGAGAGCACTGGATTGTAATTGCATGTCAAAAGATTGCAAAAGAAAAGCTGGGGGGGTGCCTTTCCTGTTTTTTAGATGGGATCTTGTTGAACTGTTTGATACAACATGCTGTGAATGTTTTATAAGTCTTCAGGCTGAGGGGGTTTATCTGCCCTTTGGTTAGAAAAAAACCCATCAGCCGCCTTGTGACTGGGATCCTGCCCAAACAGTTGAGGCTTTTGAGAGCGCCCGTTCATAAAGGTTTCATCTCTAAGCACTGTCTCCTAAGTTTTGGATTAATTTGGTCTCTCAGCTAAAGCAGAAAGATTTTGGCTGTCTGTGTCTTTGGAAATTGGTGGCTTCTGGGGAGATTCTGTAAATAAAGGGTATTTGAGTTGCTTTCCTAGGGATAGTTTTAAAGTTGGAAGAACGCATGCACTGTTTCCTTGGGGTGATCCCATTTTCTCCTCCTCAGTTCAGGGACTATTTGAATATATATACACCTAAGTGTCGGCATGATAGACACTTGAAGCAGACTGGTCCCTTTTCTCTCTGTCCTGTCTCGGTGCTATCAGTGTGCAGCGTGGTATCTTCACTGTCAACACTGCTCAGCATCCCTCGTGCTATTACTGTTTTACCAGAGGACTCTGCATAGATCACCATGTCACCACAGATGGTGCTGGCTCTTCCTTCGCCTTGCTAGAAACATCTTCGTTCAACCTGAGGGCCTTTGTGCTGAAGCTGTAGAGGCAGGGCTGCTTCCTTCCATCCTGCCATTTCCTTTCTTCAAGAAAAGTGTAAAGAAAAAAAAATACCACAAACAAACAAAAACACCCATGTAAACATCCAGTTTTGGGGATGCCGTGTTTTCTAGTACTTTTCCAAACTTTGCTCTTCAGACTTCTGGCATTGCAAGGCAAAGGCTTTCAGATGTATTTGAATGAGACTAAACCAGATTTGTTGATGTACACACTACAGTACCTTAGCAACCAACCTGCATCTAGTCCAAGATCTGAACATTTAGTCTTTAAACAATTCTTTGCTACCAATCTAGGAATGTTCTTGCATTGCAGAGTGCAAAAACAGCCAGTTGACATCTAGTGAGGAACAACATACATTATAAAATATGTACTCCTCCACAGTGGGAGGAGAGGGAACTTATGTAAGCTCATTTCTTTGCTGCTTTAATTGTAGTTTCTTGAGCCCTTGGAAGATACATCCCTGGGAGCAGGATTGTTGTGTTCAGATGATTGCAAATTCTGCTTTATCAGTCTAAAATAGGACTTTGGAGGCAGTGTGGTATTAAATCTCGATGTGTTGAGTGGGAACATTACAGAATTGAATGAGAAATTATTTTAAATATTGGTACTACTAAATAAAAAATTGGGAAGGGTCACTGACAAAAGATTAATAAAAAGTCATAGCTCTTACTAATCAGCTGTTGAGACAGTTTAGTCTTCTGAAAGAAGTGACAATGAAAGTAAGTTGATGTTTGAGTATAAAAGAAATGACTTTCTTGCACACTTTGACACCAGAAACGTATACAACTATGGGAAAGCGTACTAGGATATTTTAGTGTAGAGGTGTCATTCAGAACTGAAGAGTGATATCTGGCATTTATTGAAACTTTGCAGACTGTCACATTTATTTTCATGTATACCTGAGTTCAGTAAGGAATTCTTTGCTGGTTTTTTTTCTTTGGTTGGTTGGGTTCTCTTTGAAAACCTGTGTCTGCCCTTTCTACAGAGCTTTTCCTGGTGCAAGAAACAAGAACACTTATCTAATGGTGGAAAGCTGCATCATCTCTGTTACCTAGATAGCTAAAAGGGTGAATGGACAAAAGGTATACTCGATATACTAAAGGAAGATGACTTTTTTAATGTGTATATCACACACATGAACAGCTGGCTAATTTTGATATTAGAGTCATGATCAGACTGACACGAGGGTTTACATCCTGGTTTTCAGAATAGCAGGTGACATAAGAACCGCATGGTGGTTATTTGTTGAAAATTGAACTACAAAGTTGATTTTTCTTCCATTGCTTTACGCTATCGCACAAGACCTAACGTGGCAGTTTGCCACAGAAGGTTGCCATGCACCCACAGAAGTTGAATTTGTTTTGTTTATAGATGGTATCCATTCTCGATCATAACGGACACGGTGTCAAGTTGAGTCAGTTAAAACAGTTGAAAAATAAATGAGTTGCCCTTACACTTTCCTCCTCCTTTTCTTTTAGTTACAGCTGCAGAAAACCCAATATTTGCAGCTGGGACAGAGTCGTGGCCAGTACTACGGTGGGTCGCTGCCAAATGTGAATCAGATTGGAAACAGTGCCATGGATCTGCCCTTCCAGGTGAGTTTCATAGGATGTTTCCTTCTTTTTGTTGATTAATGCTGTGCCTGTATGCTATTTTTAATTTCACAGGAGACCATGAAGTAGCTGCACGTTCAGGACATAGCACTGTGGCCTCAGCACATCACCCTGTTTTAAAAACTTTTGCTCTTTTGGAATGGAACATAGTCCTGTATGGGATGTGTGGATATTTTTGTATTGTATATATCTAGTGTTAGATATTAGTCCCTGGTTGTGATGCTTTTGTGTCAAGAATACGCAGAGGCGATGCAATTTCTTTGTCAGCGAACATTCATGGTGGTGGTGGGGTTTTTTTGTTCAGTACCAAATTCTTCATGAAATCTTTTGTGACGATACTGTAGACTCAAAGCAAAAGTGGAAGCAAATAATGCAAGGGGATGTGGAAAGTGCTGGGAGATGGGGGTGTGGAAGAAGGTACCCCACGGCAGCGTGCATGTTCCACGGGAGTAATGCATGGGATTTAGGAGAGGAGGAGGGGGAATGGGACACAGGCTGGTATTGGAATAGTCACTTTGCTTTGGGCTGGCTGAAGAGTAAATGTAGGGATGTACTGGCTGCTTTTTCCCCCTGCAGTTGTGACTCCAGGGGTAATGCACTATAAACAGAAAATCAGTGTTTTATATGAATGTTTTGCTGTTAGTAAGCATGTTTGGACAGAAGATGTTGTATAGGGGAGAGGAGTAAGTGATGGATACTTCTGGGACTCCTGATTTCTATAGTTAGTTGATTTAGGGTGCTCAAAATAATGAAAATTTCTGTATTAGTTTTCCTTTTTTTTTGAGCAGAAACATTTGTATTTTCTCTCACGAGGATGTGGTAAGAATTAAATTTTGCAGTTTGTGGTTTTCTGATGAAGGTTGACTTAATAAATACAGAGAAACTATTGATAACGTCCTCTAACTATGCATTTCGAAATACACGTAGACAGCTGAATTTGTGGAGGTTAACAGCTTGAATGTTGTGCAAGAGGAGCAGCAAATGTCTGTTTTAATTTGGTTGCCTTTAGGGAATACAGTGCAGAGGTTTGTAATGTTATGAAGTCCTTAGTACTACTCTACAAGTGTCTGATCTCTTTAAGATTGAGGAGGTTCATAGTTCCTATTCTTTTTAAGCAATAGTATTTCAGTAGTTTTGTGCTTGATGGCCATTACTGATGGTTATTACAAAGACTTTTTTAGTCCTGAAACTAACAGAGTGCTTGAAAGTGAGTATTCAAAAATTTGTGAATGACTAGAGGAGGATACGGAAATGAATTGTCCTTAAACTCCAAGTTTTTACGTATTTTTTTTCACCCCCACAAAAATCCAAAGTAGATACTGTTACAGATAACAAGTGGTGACAGGCAATAAAATAAATCCGTGTATTTGTATCAGTGATGAATGCTTTGCAGGTTTTTCAGTTTTAAGCTAAGATAACGATGAAATTGCCAAAAGATACTTGTACGATGTGCCAATGAGGTGAAGGCTGTCTGGTTGTCTCCGGTGAGAGCGTTAGTGTCTGAGAATCTTGGTTCTTTGCATTTACAGCACAACGGAGCTCTGGCAGAAGCCTTTGGAGCAGTTCCTGTCTCTTTGGTAAACAAGTATTTAGGTTTGTGCAAATACGTATTTAGGACTGGTGTACTGTTTGCCCAGGTAGATACGTATTTTAGCACATGTTACACTTTTTCTGGTATGCACAGTATTTATTTGATTCACCGTCCCAGCTCCAAAGGAGTTATGGTCTGTCACATAAATACAGGTTTTGCCATGCATCCCAGTTTGGAACATGCATAATAATTCCTGTACAGACTCCCTGGACTTGCTGTGATCTGTCATGTGATTACTTATGATTTATGGGGGATTAATTTGATGCAGACGGTGGTTTATTTGGCACTGTCTTGGCCTGTGATTTAAGCAATCTCTGAGCATGTGCACTTAGCCTGCATGTTAAACTCCATCGGGAAAGGCAGAATGATTACCCAAATGCTGCTTGTCACCAGGAGGCACTGAAATGTAAACTGTCAGTAGGTACCACTCCTCACTTTCCCTCTCATCCACCTTGCTCGTTTTTATTTCTTAAGTCTTGATAAATCTTAAAGGGACACTGTTGCTGTAGAGCACTGAGCTTTTTCCTTCCTGTCTGTGAGTGTGTAGGGGGTTTTTAATGTTTTGTGGAGTTTTGGTTCTTATCTCAAATCCTTGAATGTTTCTCAGGGAAACGAAACGGTTGTAGTTCTTCATTTTCCACATAAAATTGATGCTCAGATCTGTTCTTTTTTTTTTAATCCCAGTTTACTGTAGTTAAACACCACGTGCCCTGCAGGGATGGGGATTTTAATGACGACATATTGCCTGGTGTTTGGTTCAGAGTAAGTGTCATGGGATGCTTGCCGAGAGAAGCCAGACCTGTTGGAGGTGATACCCGTTTTCTCAGGTGTTTGTATTCTTTTCTGATTTCCCTAAGCAAATTAGGGATTCACTTGGGATCTTTGTTCCTGGAAAGCCAGAGAACAGCATTGCCCAAAAATTCCTCGCTCTGTAAATTGTAGCCCTGTGCCGGGACGTGGTCCATGTTTACTTGTGCCACCGTTGCACTCAAATTAGATTTTTATTGTGTTTTCATATGGAAGTTATGCCAAAAAAAAGGGAAGACATAACTATTTTTGTATTCAACTAATATGCATTGGCTTCCTTTTAAATTCCAGGTGAGGTCTGCATTCTCTGTGCTTCAGACAGGCTTCTCCTTTTTTAGTACATTGTGGTTGAGACCACTGACATAGGAAATTGCTTCTCCTGTTGACCTTCCAAGCACGCATGTATTTGCAAATTCTGCTGCCTCTTGGGGTAGAATTGATGTATCAACAGTGCAAAGAAGAGTTTGAGACCTTTTTTGTGGTGTTTTAGAATTATGAATATTCCCAGTTCTGTGTGGTGCCTGTTAGGTAGAACCAGATTGTTGTTTAGTGTTTGCAGCAGAGATTAAACCAACCTGTTTTAATTTGAATTACTTAAAATGGAGATGCTATGACTTGAGGTTTCTAAGTCTTTGTGCAAGTCATACTTGCTAGGGAACTGAAGCAAAACACCATGTTCTTAATGGCTGAGAGTACAGTAAGAAGTCACTGTGCTCTCTTGCTATTCCCATGTTGACCTAAGCAATATTCTGCTGCATATAAAGTGTTGGCCCTGAAACGAGAAAATAACCACCACAGCCACTTTGCATCCATTTATATTAACACAGGCTGTGTGCGCGTAGGGGGAGAGGAGACTAATGTTTGCTAAATACAAAGGAGTTTAAAATAGTAGAAAGACTCTTTTTAAAAAGTTATTACAAACAAAACATTTAAAAATAAATGTAAAACTTTTTAGAAATAATCATTTAAAGAGCCAAAGCTGGACACTTTAAAAAAAAAAAAAGAAAAGAAAAGGAAAAAAGATTAATGTGGAAGCCAGATGGTTTCATGGCTTGGCAGACAGGACAGTGCATTTGCCACGTGCAGCACCTGAATGGAGGAGGAAATTTTGGATTTCCAAACAGATGGTGTTGAGGGACTCAGCAAAGCTGTTCACATTGGCAAGGAGTGGAAGACTCTGTAGCTTTTTTTTTTCCCCCGGAGACCCATATATTGCTGTTGAAGTACGAGTAGAGGTTGACCATTCGGTACTTCCTTTCCTCCCCCCCCGCCCCCCCGCAGGTATACACTGAAAAGGGCTTTTGGAAATGTAGAAGTTTTCCAGTTTCGCCTGGGAATTTATCTTCCCTGTCTTTTCTCTGCCATCCTTGTTCTCTGAAATCAGTTGCTGACAAGTAAACGCTCTCAAGATAGCGGCACCAATAAGATTCAAAGTGGAATCAACCCACCTAGATTCACCACGCAACCTGAACAAAATGAAAATCACTTTAAAAATATTGGATGCTGTAACTTTTTCTAGACAGAGGAGGAAGGAAACTGCTTTTCTTTTTCTTTTAATTCTATCAGTGTCCCCTTAACACAATTATGCTGAAAGGAGGGGTGAAAGGAAGTTTTGAGAGAACGTGGTGTGTTCCGGTGAACATTAGGCTCACTGTGCATCTTCTTCCTGCATCTCCTGCCCTTGTAGTTTAAGCTCTGGTTGTCAGCATGTTCCTTCTGGATGCATGCTGCATGCTACACGGAGGGAATGTAAACAGCAGTTGTCAGTAGGCTCCATGCCACACTCACTGGTGGTATTTTAGAGATTACGAAGGTTGGAGAGCAGTGCTGATTTATGAGAGGGCAGATCTAGCATGGTCTGCCTTCACTTGTCTCTAATCTCTGTCTGGAAGAGATAGCCTTGGTAATTGCTTTCCATGGCTATAGTGAAAATGTTGTTGGAGGAAAAATTTACATGTTTACACTTGTCCATATCTTTTTTGAGTTTTATTCTTTAGAATAAGACAGCCTTGCATCCAATATGAATAGGTTCTGGGAGCTCGTGCGTGTGTTTTCCTGCTTGTAATTTCACGTGTCTCTCTCAGACTCCTTTTCAGTCGTCGGGATTGGACACAAGCAGGACAACTCGGCATCATGGTCTGGTGGACAGAGTGTATCGTGACAGAAACCGTCTTGGCTCCCCCCATCGACGCCCTCTCTCTGTGGATAAACATGGAAGACAAATATCCTTTGGTTTATGAGCTGCCAGTGAACCTTTTCAACAAGATCACAGTTTTCAGTTATTACAGTTCCCTGCTTCCTCCCCTCCTCGCCTGTCAGCGGAGTTGCTTCCCGTCTCCGTGCAGTCAATGTCATCTGCCTTTTCTGAACTGTGATCTAGTCTATAAATACCTACTATTCTGTAAAGTAAGCATTTACCTTTCTCTGTTCCCTCAGCTCTAAGTGGGAATAATGATACACGTGAAGCTGAGAGGGATTGAGATCCTTTGATGGAAAAGGCAAAGCAGTCTTGGTGAAACTGAGTTTCCCTTCAGAACTGAGTAAATCCAAACCAGAATAGTTCTTTGCAGTTTATTGTGCATTTTATTACAAGTTGATTCATCAGTTTAGCATTTGCTAAGCGCTATTTCTTCTTGCCATTTGTGAAAACGAATTAGCTTATTATTTCTGACTGGCTTAAAATGTGCTGCAATCAGACTGGCTTGATGGGGCTAAAGGGGCTGCGTGAGTAGGGGCGTGGAGAGGTGACAGCTTCTTGAGGAGTTAGATGGTCAGAAAGGGAAAAGGAGGATGGTTGTCCTGTTGCTCGAACATTACAACAATCCAGATAATATTTTGAGTGTCCTTTTAATGTATGTATGTTTCCTGTAGGGGGTCTGCTTGGCTTTCTCATGTGAGCTTAATGGTTCTGACAGGGTAATTTGAATTATTTCTTAGGAAAAGTTTTTATATAGGCCTCCTACTTAAGTGAGAAAGTGGTGTTCTTCCCCTTAACTGATGGAATCACGTGGACAGCTGTCCGTATGGCACTGTGTATCTGTCACCTCCATCAGACACAAGCTGGAGAAGGTTAGTAGCACAATCGTACGCATGTCTTAGTAGTTGGACTGTGTTCTCTGATACTACAAAGGCCTTTATTGTTCCTTGAAGCAGTTGGGCATCTGAATTGCCATGAATTCCTGAATTTACACATGCATTTTTTTTCTTCCGTTATATTTATTCTTTTAGATGACCTGCTTTTAAACTTAAAGTGTGTCAGCTAATGGGATCGTTTTAAGGGTAAATGTTGCCAGGTGTTCCAAGGCATACCCCAAAATTGTTGAGTTATAAAAGACGCCAGTCATTTTCCCTCCCTATAAAACAGGGATGCTTTCTTTTCAAAGACTAGTAGAACAGAAGTATGTATAAGCATCTTTCAACTTAAAAATTGCATTATTTGATCACGCATAATTCTAACAAAGCATATCAAATTATCTTCTAACTACGGCAACCAATTTATCCTGTATTCCTCTCAATCCTATTGTTGAAACAATTGCTCTTCAAACTTGAACTAATTTGTTCTGTGAATTGATTGTTTCACAAGGAAATTGTGCCTGGTATATGCCATATATAGATTTTGGGTTTTTAATGCAGAGTATTCAGGTTTTACTGAGTTGGTTACATTTATCTGAGATTAAGCATTCTTTTATTTAGAGAAACTGACAATAAAAACATTTATTTTTGGCCTTCCTTTCAGGACAAATTCCGATTCTGCCTTGCACCAGAGTACTATGACTCCAGCTCAACAGGAATCCTTTTCAGGAGGGTCACAGGACATGCAGCAGAAAAGAGGTAAACAGAGAAAACCAGTAAAAATATTTGTAATATTCAAAGTGTTGTACTTCAGATTATATGCACAAGTATTGGTGTTCATCTACTTCTATAAATACATGTATGCATAACAATTTCAAGACTCAGTTACACGGGAATTGGAACAAAGGACCATGTTTACTCTTCTGGGTACTGAAATATGAGGTAGAGCATTCTCCTGAACCTGGTATTCTGTTAGTCGAAGACCTTGCCCTACAGGGAAAAGTAATCTGGGCTCGTGGGACTCTGATGGTTAGACCGCTCTCAGCGGTACTAGAGGTTTGCAGTTTGTAGTAACTTCCAGACAAGCGTAGAGATCACAGGCTTTTCATGGTCAGTGATAGAATATGGTCTTGCGACTTCATCTAGATTTTATTTATAGTGAATATACCCTCAGAGGCAATGCTGACAAACAGTAGTCTGGTAACATTTGTGGTTACAAGCTGGAGCAGCACAGCCCTCCGGCACTAACGATTCTGGTGCCCTCTGCTGGCCCTTGTTCCTGCTGTCAGTTCAAGAAATACACGAAAACCTCTTTAAATCTGTGTAGAGAAATTTCATCCTTAAACAACCACCCAGACAGAGATAGACATGCAACTCTCAAATGCATATGTGCTGTTCTGCAGCTCTTCCATATACTTCCAGTGCTGTAAAGCATTAAATAGTGATCATTTAAACAGTATTGCATAAATATGGATTTATAGTCATCAGTGTGAAAGGCTTCTGTTGATACATCTCTCTGACTGGGCTTTCTTTTGCTGTTTCTTTGTCACCTTGTTATTAGCATGATGAAGCAGTCGATTGCTTTGAACAAAGAAATGTGCCTGGAATATGGAGAAGTAACAGCTTTACAGCATTTCTCTGTCCTGGGGGAGATGGTCCGGATTTTTTTCCCCCTGGAATCATCCTATTGGCCACCTGTTAGCTGTAACAAGTGTACATCACTTTTGCAAACTGCGAAAGATAGGAAACACTAGTTCCCAAGATACACTCTACATTTAGATCTAAGCAAACTACATTGGAGGCCAAAATTTTTGAAGTATTATTTGGGTTTTTTTGGGGTTTTTTTTTGAAGTTGATAATGTCTCCTTGCTAATTAAATACAATTTTATTCTCTTCTGGTGTTTTTTTGTTTAAATTTTGATCTCGTAACAGTAGAGTGCCACTGTTTCATATTCATTGATAATAGGTTACTTAAGAGTTTTCAAATGGCTAAACTTCCAATCTGAAAATTCTTACCAAGAAGCTTAATATTATGATATGATTCCTTTGGTTCTTGTTTTTTAGTTTTATTACTGACTGTCCCTGGAATGGAGGAAACCACCTCAGAGGCAGACAAAACCCTTTCTAAACAAGGCTGGGACACTAAAAAGGTAGGAATCTCAGATTTCAAAGTATAGAGATTTAATTTGTTAAAATTTTAAGGTAAACTAATGCTCTAAATATTGTCAACCAAACCAAACTCCTTGCAGAGATTAGAGATTAAATGCTATTTTTAGCAACAAATCACTAAAGATTAGGTCAGAAAGGCACTTGATATGTATGTGTGCATGCGGATGTTTGATTATATCAGGAGAAACTCTTTAAATTTGAGCCTCGTTGGGCCAGTAAAGCAACAAAAGTGACATATATCTCCTTAGTGCTTCACAGAGCTCTTGTGTAGAAGAATAGCTCTTCTGTAGAAATGTATTAAACTAAATAAAACTTAATAATTGAACTATATCCTAAGCATTAATCTCTGACAGTATCTTTGCCTTTAAAAATGTCATCCTTCTATTTTAGACTGGGTCATCAAGACCTAAATCATGTGAAGTTCCAGGAATCAAGTAAGTTTTGAGCAATTTTTATTTTTTATTTTTTTAAAGAGCATTCAGATCTGTAAGAATGAATGTTATATATTGAATGTCCCCTTGAGTTTTCAGTTTAGACAGTATAACACTGCAATAGATACAAGACAAGCCAGAAACTCTCTGAGTGACCCACTGGCTATTACATCTCTGGTTTATCAGAAATACAATATATAGTTCTGTATATGGGACCTTCCTTATTTAAAAAGATTTTATGAAGATCTGTCCAAGCTCAAATTTAAATTGAGATTTGTCTTTTTTTTTTTTTTTCCCCCTCCGTTCTCCCTTATTTAGCATCTTTCCATCAGCTGACCAGGAAAACACTACAACACTGATTCCTGCTACGCATAACACGGGTGGCTCCCTGCCAGACCTGACAAACATCCATTTCCCTTCCCCTCTCCCAACGCCGTTAGATCCTGAGGAATCCACATTCCCAGCCCTGAGTAGCTCCAATAGTACTGGGAATCTTGCTGCCAATCTGACTCACTTGGGCATCAGCACTGCTAGTCAGGGTAAGATCAGAACTCCAAGGTGTTTTTACAGATTGCCCATGTCGCTTGTCTTAAATTATGGAAGTTGCATTGCTGAATATTACTGTTTTGTCTGAGAGGTAATTGCGCTTCACGTTTGATTGACATTTCTTTATAAACAAGTTTTATCAAGCCATTTCTGTACGAAAAAGTGAGAAAGCTGTATTTAGTTATATGACTTACAAATTGTCTTTCATTTTTCTCATGTTCTTGGTGCCCAAATCTGCTTTTTTGGGTTTTTGGTTGGTTGGTTGGTTTTTAATTTTCTGTATAAGACTACAGGAGAGACAGGATCCAAAGCCTTGTAATTCATTGTACTTAACCCCAACAGCACTTGTGTTACAGAAATATCTTCAGTAGACCTTTTGTTTAGAATGTCTTTTTTTTTCAGTGTGAGGATTCTTTTGGAGAAAGAACATTGCTTGCTTCATCTGAAGCAAATTTTCTCTTTAGAGCAATCAGGAATGATGTGGAGCCTTTACGAGGTGTGCTAGTTTTTCTAAGCTTGACTGCTTAAGTTTTGAAAATATCCTGAATATTCACACTACGTAATATAGCAGGGCTTTGGGAAATAGTATCAAGTGCACACCTTAATTTCTAACAGCTCTCACTATGGTGCCTTTGTGTTGAAATTGTTGCCTTCCTAGCAGTGCAGTTTTTGTTGCAAGATCTTGTCAAGTGCTGTTGCTGTTTGAGCTGTTCAGCGTGGTGAGTCTGAGTTGTGTTTGTTGGGGTTTTTGGACTTTGGCAATACTGATAATTTTATTTAAAAAAACAACCAACAAAACAACAAACCACAAACATTATTTGCCATGCTGGTAACCTATAGTGTACTGATTACCTGATAATTTCAGTCTCAAATTTAACTTTATAGGCAAATTGCCTAAACTGGTGATTGTTATTTTTTAAATAATTTGACTGGGTCACACTCGAGCAGTTGTGAACAGTTGTGTAACAGTTGTGTTTGTTTATTTTAATGTCAGTGACAATTGCAGTCAGTTGTTTCCTAGAATAGAAATAAGGCACCATATCCAAAAATACAAGTATATTTCCTGTGTTAGGCAGGATTCCCTTACCCACTTAAAAATCCTCTCACATGTTGGGAAGAGGAAATAATTATAATCAGGGTAATGTAGTGTTATGTCTGAGCAGTTATAGTTAAGAGTGAAGCAAGAAGATGGTTTAACCATTTGAGTGCAGAGCAGGTCAGCAGCTTTCAGCATCCTTTAACCAGTTTTCTGGTCTCAAAAGAGACTGTACAAAGTTTTCAGAGTTTTGAGTAGAACTCGGTGAGTCTGTGCGAAGAGAGCTATTGTGTGTATAGAAAGAAACAAACTACTTGCATGGATTTAGGCCAGATCTGGTGGCTAAATTTTTTTGCCGTATCCATAATTAGCAAAGCAAACGGTATAAAACCAAACCAGTAAGTATATAATTGCTTTGAAAACACTTCCTGATCTATCGAAGACATAACAAATTAAAAAGATATACTCACTGATGATTTTCCTGCTTCTCTTTGGAGACTATCCCATAGTTTAATCATTGGCATAGTCAGTGTTTGGTGCTTTTTGTAACTGATTTTTCTAAACTTCCTTGCCTCTCTTCATCTTCTAGCTCTTTAGCAGAAAACGTAAAGGCTTTTGAACTTTTTGCAGGAGCTCTGCATGTTGCACAGGCATGCCCTTGACAGCCCCAAGAAAAGGTGGGGAAATAAACACCTGTCGGGTTATAAAGAACTACCAGCAATTTCAGACTACGCATTTGTGCATTTGAGTTTGTCGGTTCGTTGACATGTTCCGTGAGACGGTGTTGATTTTGAAAACATCACAGGGGAAGCCAAGGCAGTCTTCAGAATCCGTGCAGTTTGAGCCAGTTTGCCTGCTGGCTCCTTGGCAGCCCGGACTTCCTGGCTCCCTGGCAGCCTGCCTGGAAGCCTTGAACGTTTGCCAAGTGCCTCGGAGCTCTCAGGCTCTTGTGAATTCCTCCTTTCTGGCAGCTCTAGAAGAACAGCTCTCTAGCTAGATTGTCCTGAAATCACTTTTCAGGGTGTCTCGGTTCCTCTAGGGTGAGGCAGAAAATAGGGGAGGTTTCAAAATTTTCAGATTTTTGTCTTGAACTTGAACAAAATTACAATACTTGAATTGTTTATCCCTACCCCCTGCTAGGTCGTGGCTCTTTAGAGTGTGAAGAATATTTCCTGCCTTCTTACGCACTGATGCGCCATTAAAAATGGAGAACGTCCTGTGTAACCAGTTTTTCTTCTGCATTTTCCATCAAATAGGTGCTTGCTTTCATAATATCACAAGTGCCCTCTGATTAGTCTTGTTATATGATCTGTTATCTTCTTCCTGAAGTTTGAGCCCTTGCAAATAGAGCAGAATGTGCTTCTCCTGGGTTCAACGTGTGCAGCCCGGGAGGTGTGCAAGGATGATACCTATGGTTTCTGTAAACCGCTGAAGCTGCTCTGCCTGTTTCCATTTCAATTCAGTATCTGTGCCCAAACCTGAACAACTGTGACTGGTTTTGGTCCAGGATAAACCACAGGGATCTTCCTCTCATCCTGATGCTCTTCAGCCTGACAAAATTAATTGCAAATTAGCTAATGAGTTTCAGTCTGGTTGGCCAAGGCACATTCAGCACTTTGCCTTAAGTGGTTGTCCACTTAACGCCATTCATTTTTCATCGTTTAGGTAATTACCTCCATATGAGTATCAATAAACCATTGCTGTGTTCCCGTTTAAGCTGGTTTGTTTCTTCCTGGCAGGAATGACGACGACACCAGCCCCTTCCCAGCAGCACCGTCAGCCAGCCGTCAGTCCTCTCTCGTTGAGTGCAGACTCAAGACGACCACAGTCACAGCAGATGTCTCCTACGCTTTCCCCTTTGTCACCGATTACTCAGGTAGGAACTTACTTGGAGAGAATTAAACATTTTCAGTCACAGATTAATTGTTTTACCTAGGGAGAAGCTGGCTGTAACTTCACCTCTCTTGTTCTGTAATTTTCTTCTTTAAATATGTTCATTAATTCAGAGCCGTAAAAAGGGAGAGGTTAGTAGAGGACACAGATTTTACTTCTGCTTTTCTAGACTGTGGGGGAAAAAACATCTATTAGGACACTCTTCTGTAATGGTATTGTCCTAAAGTTAGTTGTGAAATTCAAAAGACATTTCTCTAATTCATGAGACGAGCTCAATTAGCTTTTTTAAATTGATTTCATAGGTGTGGTGACTCTGTGACTGACTAGGTTATCAATTTCTGACCTGGACGTTCAACTGTGCTTTTAGAGTGTGTGTCTGTTGTAAACTGGAGGTGATACTAAGTCCTTTGAAACATGTTCCTGACTGTTTCTGAACCTCTAGGTAACATTTTTAAAATGCAAGATGAGATTGACTTAGTACAGTTCACTTGGTGTGAAACTTGATGTGCTTGAAAATTAAGGGGAATTACGTGCCAGCGTGGATGATTTTGATTCTTCTTTTTAAGGCCGTGGCTATGGACGCATTGTCTCTGGAGCAGCAGCTTCCCCCATATCCGTTTTTTACCCAGACAACTTCCCAGCAACAGCAGCAGACCCAGGTGGCGAGTACCCTGCCTCAGAATACTCCTTTAATGCAGACCTCTGGTTTACAGCGAGGAACACAACTCCCCCCACTCTCCGTCACGGTACCTTCTACCATCCCACAGTCCCCTCCGGGAAGCCAGACCCAGCCATCAATGGGAATAGACATCAACTCGGTAAGCTTGGGCACTGCCGAAAATGAGCTTTTGTTCAGAAAACCTGGTAGCGTGCAGCTTAGTGTCAAGAGTTCAAGCTGGACTGCCCTTGGAATAAGTATTCTTTTAGGCAGAGTCTGAAGTAGAATGGGTTTGATTGAATCCACGTTTAAATGTTTTATAGAGAAAAATTTGGTTTTAATGTGTCCTTAGGGTGGCCCTGTTTTCATAAAATGGTGTCCCTTATGAATCCTGTGTTTGATTAAACCAACTTAAATATATCAGCATTTATTTCATACCTTGCTGCTGCCATTGCATTGATACATTTTCAGGATTAAACGTAATGCACCCCCAACACATCGTGTGTTACTAAGTATGCTGTAGGCTGGAGGAGTTAACAGAACTTTGATAAAGAAATCTGCTAACAAGCATTTTCCAAAAGTTGGAGAGAACCAGGTATTTTCTATGCTTTCTATATTTAGAACCCTTTCATTTTAAGGAATTGTAAAGCATACATTATTATCTTCAAATATGGGATTTGTGCCTGCATTCAGATGCCCAGGAGAAATGGAGTGTATATGTATACATAGCTATGATTTATGGACAGGTTTCTTTTCTTGCTTGTTTTAACGTGGTCTGTTACGAAACGTTGGGTCTCTCTCTGCATACGAAAACCCAAAATGCAGAGCAAGATGAGGGTTAGAGGCTAGTGAGGGAAGAACGTCACAGCTCGTTCTCTGCAGGATCTTGGTTGTCCAACCTGTTGTGTCCTCCTGGCAGTGTTGTAGTGACAGTACCTGGTTTGAGAATGAGAAGAAATCATTGTCTATTGATCTAGCAGCACTTGATTGTGGATTTAATTTGTGGATGAAATTTTTAACAGTTGGTGCTAAGTGCTTCTTGAAAGAAGCTGCTTCCCTTTCAGGGTTGGAAGGGGAAAAGGGAAGGACAAATCCAGCAGTGGAAAGGATACCGACCCACTCAAAACGTGTCCCAGGTTTTTGATTCCAATGCTCATGTAGCTACCAGTACAGATGATTCTGATTTTCATTCTTTGCTTTCTGTGTTGTTTTCCTCATCCTAAACTTCTTTATGACCTTAACTTTTAGGGTGCTGTGCTTATCTTTTAAAGGAACTGAAATAATTCATAAATAAACATAAATTTAAAGCTAGTTTATCAGAAAGCCATTTGGGCTGTGTTACAGTCTCACTGACAACTATTATGCAGTTTTTGTAAAGTGATACTGAAATTAATTTTGCTGTAGTTTGGATGTCTGCTTAAAGCGCATAAGTAGCAATGCATAGCAAAAAGGGTTAAGACATACTTTCTGGAGATTTGCAGAATTGGGTGTCAGACAGCATTCTGCCACACTGCAAAGCTATCTGATTAAATTACTCCTTTTCTTAGAACTACTGGCGTGCAGGTTTTCCTCAATCATCTGTTAATTTCCAAAGGAAGTATAGTGAGAAGAGCTATACTTACTACTAATGTTAATTAGTGTAACATTTTATTTAAATGCCACTAAGATTATTAATTTGTTCAAATCCAGGATTCTTTCTGACTGAAAAAAGGTAAATCTTTGAAGATGTGTTCTCAAGGCGACTGAGAACAACGTAAATGTTACTGATACAAGCCTGCAAAGTGCAGTGTGAATTCTCAGACATGATCTGTTCCACGCCCTGGGGTGAAATGCAGCTTTGAGAAGGATTTCAGTCTGCATGGTTATACACTTCAGTCTCGGTAGCACACCCAGGCTGTTTAAGACTAGGCAGAGTAATACAAGAAGGATTTCCAGAGCAATGTAAACACAGGTTAAGAATGTGTGGGTATGGCAGTTGAATTCAAGAATAAATTACGTTACTTTTGAGTTATTCCCAGCTTTCAAGACTTCTTTTCCCTAAATCATTGGCTGACCAGTTTGGTTTTTTTTTAATTGAGCGTAACTGAGAACAGGGAGAAAATATTTCAAGAGTTTTGCTTATACAACAGCACTGCGCTGCTCTCAGCCGTTCAGTCAGATGAGACCATGCCATGCTGATATCTTAACTCTGTCCTTTTTGCGGCATTGTTCACAGTAATCATGTCTTCATACGTAGCCAAGAATTGCTGAAGAGGATGGTTTCTCCCAGCTTCCTCGAGCTGTATACGCCAGAAATTTATAACTTTCCAACCTTCCATCAATCCCATGGTCTTTAATTCTGTGTTGTTCTGTAGGCTTCACTCCAGCAGTACCGCAGTAATGCTGGGTCCCCAGCCAACCAGTCTCCCACCTCTCCTGTCTCCAATCAAGGCTTCTCTCCTGGCAGCTCCCCTCAAGTAAGGGACTCTGTGCTTCCACAGGCCTTGCTTCTTGTGTTTGTTTTTAGTTGAGTCTCTCCATTACTGACCCATAGTTGTCTCACTGTAATTGTATGTGCCTCATGCATTACTGATGTCTCACCTTGTTTGCAGTTTCATTCAGTTCCAGAGTTTTTCAATAGCTGGTGAATTGCCTTTTTATTGATCAAAGCTACTATTTGAATGCTATTAATACTCATGGGGGTGTACCGTGGACAGAACCTCCAGGTAGACCCCTTTCAATTAGCAATATCATGTAGGAGCTGACGGATACGGCTGGGAGGGCAGGGCAGAGAAGGGGGGAAACTGAAGTGCCTCCTGCAGCAGGATAACTCCTGGGGCACTAAATATCCGTTGTGTGGCCAAATGCATTTACATCAGGACCTTCTTTTTACATGGGAAAGAAATAAAACACTGGGGAAAATGATCTTAAAATTAGCAATTGTATCTTGTGGCTTGCAAGTAATGGGTTAGTAAACACGCTTTCTTGCATGCTAGCTGGTTTTTCTTCCTGTGTGTGTATATACTCATGCAGCCACATCCTATACGCAAGTTGTGGCTGGGGTTGTGTGTAATGCAATGAAGGGGAATTTTTATCTGCCAGCAGCAAGACAGTTAAAACCAAGGCAGTCTTTGGGGTTGCCCCCATGTAGGGCAGTGAGGGCATTTTCAGTACGGAAATAATCTGATGCTGCTAAACCAGCTCCACGTGGCTGCCCTTTTCCTAAATCCCACCTGTAGAAAGGAGGTGCAGTAAATTCTTACAGAGCATCACAACGGAGTCTGAAAATACATTTTCTGTTTCATCGTTTAACGTTTAAGGCTGTAAGGAGGATCCTTTCTAAATAAGTGCTGCCCCTTCATGGTTCCAAAGCAGAAGCTTCGTCTCTCCTTGCCATTAGCCAGAGACAGGTCACTGGTAAGCTCAGTACTAGATCCGAGTGTCAGGACTGTCTGGATTTTCTTAACCCTTGCTTAATTGCTTCTTAACATCTCTCCCTTCTGCCTGCTTCTGCCAGTTCTGCTGTGTTCTGTGTGTGGCTCAAAGAAAACAAACACTTAGTCCTCCAGGCTGTCATGTAGAGCAAAGCTGTTGCCAGTCTTGCTGCAAATCTCAGGCCCAGTTCTCATTTGGGCAGTGCATCTGATTTTGATTTTTTGCATTGATTTTCTTTCCCCCTTGACTTCTCAGATAACACTTTCCTGGTTTCGTCCACAGCCTTGTTGCCACTGGTCAGTCCAAAGTACTGGAGTGCGGCAAGCACTCGACTCTAATTTTTCCTACTGGGCCTGTTTTATCCTGTAAACTCTTGCTCAGGTTTTGCTGTTTTCAAGTGGGACACCATAACTCCGGGTGAAAGGAAGAGAGTTTATTAATATTGCTTACTTTAGTATTGGCCTCTTAAAAATACCCACATAATTCTTTGCATTTTGCTAAATTAAGAATGAGACAGCTTTCCTGCCTCCATCAATGAACCAAAAAGCTAGTAGTGGCGAGTGAGCAATCTGTGGTGGTGGTCGCAAATATTAAGCATGGAGAGAAGCAATGGGGGAAGAAAAAACAGTTCGGAAGAAAAATTTGGGTCGGTTGTGATTATGAGGGCAGCTCCCAAATAGCAGGATCCGTTAGGCTGTAGGTGATCTGCCGAGAGTCAAGGCAGGCAGGTTCCAACAGCAGAACATGCCTGTTGTGGACCAGTCTGGCACTGCCTGACGAGAGTGGAATAAAGTAGGTGTGACCGGGTAGGCATCCCCCACTTGCTCCTGTTTCTCTGATTAATTTTAGGTTAAATTGTTCTGCAGCGTATCAGTATGATGAGTGACATGCTCTAAAAATAGCAATCTGTGGTTTGATTTTTATCACATAACGGTTCATTCACCAGAAGTTATTTTTCATCTTTCCACATCTCCAAATCTATTTGCTCTTGTGTTTTAGCTGTGGTGTTTGTTATATGAAGGTCTTCCTGTTCAAACATGAATTGAAAAGCTCTGCTTGTAGTTCTCAGCTTTGTGTTTGCATGGCTTTTCATTGACAATGGCTTGTTTATTACTACTTTGCTTTTCTCCTCTAACACCTGGCATACTGCTCCAATTAGATAGAAATCTGCTTTTTTTTTAGTAGAATGGCTGTGTACTGGATAATATGGTATGTATTTTTAGATTAATAATTTAAGCCAGGGGTTTTGTGGCTTGGGTTTGGTTTTTTTTTTTTCTTGCAGTCACCACATCATTAACCCAAGAAGATGTACTGTTGACAAAACAGACCTCATCTAGTGTTTCTGGAGGAGATGGTGTTAGCAAGATGTTTTTTCACAGAGTTGTCGATAAATTATTTTAGGACTGAAGTGTTGAAGTAATGACATTTCCAGTTGATTTCCTTTGGGAGTTTCAGTGCTTACAGATGTAATAACCGGTATACTTCTGAGCTGAGGAATAAATATGGGCTTGTATGTTTTGTTAGGAGTTACAAACATAGACTTGCACAAATAGATTTTGGTCTCCTGTTTATTATTTTTCATCTTGCCCAATCTTTTTAGGATGGGAACAATGCATAGTGGAACGCAAAGATTTTAGGTTTAGTCCTACTTCTGAAAAGCCCCTGTAAAAATGAAGTGTCAGAAGTTAAAAGAAAAAAAAAAATCTTGATCCTCTTTGGAGCTCTGGAATGCAATTGTATTTCTAGTGTCGGTCCAAACTGGCTTTGATTCACGTCGAGGATGTGACACCCTGAAGTACAAATTTGTCATTAGAAATTGTTATAAAGCATCACATGGTTCTGAAGCCAGGCCTGCTGCTTAAGATGAGAACAATTTTCCACGATGGAGTTAAGCTTGGCTGGTCCCGATCTGCTTGTTTGGGTTAGCTCTGTGTCCTGACTCCATTAAACCAAAAAGTAACAGGTTGAATAATGTGAAGTTTGAGTAGTTGAGCAAAGTGTGACTGGGCAGCAAGTAAGATACCCAGTGGTTTATAGAAAAGTGTGGGGTTTATTTTAAATTTAAGTAGTGCTTTGCTTTTGTTCTTATCAGTTATAACGTGGCTCTTGCTTGTGATGTTTGATACCTTCCTCGTGGCCCTGTCTCATGCGAGAGAGAGAGCAGCCACTGTCGTTTTGAGGACCGGATGATAAATTGGAAGACTGGTTCCAATTACAACCATTTTCCATTTTTATCTGCTTCTAAGGAGGGCATCAAGTAGGGTGTTAAGCTGCAAAGATGTCATTATTGTTCTGCGCTCCTTGCTGTGACAGATCATAAATGCCCAGGAAAGGGAATCAAAATGTTATTTTTGTCCATAAAACCCTATTCTTGGCTCAGGCTCTATTTAATCAGTCTTGAGGATGAGCTGGGTTCGTTTAGTTAAACCATTTCTTATTGAGAAGTTACCGTTATGATCTTCTCTGACAAAGATTTGGAGGCAGGTGTCTGACTCTGCCAGTATCATGCTTTAAATGCAGCACCGTGGAGGTCCTTGTGTTTCCAGGGCCCTGACGTTATCCAGCAGCGCTGTTCTGCGGCAAATTTCTCTCTCCTCCAAGCGCATTCAAATCGTACCCGTGCCCTCGCATGCAGCGGGTGGGAAGAGCTTTGCGGTGATGCTCAGAGCAGTTCTTGGATCGGACGGGATCTGCTCGGCGAGGAGTTGAGCAGCACACACAGCGTGTGTTGAATTTTCGGCCACCTTCCCCCACGGAGTCTCGTTCTCAGGCTGTGAATTCTTTCCTTGATGCTGCTTTTATCCAAAAATGTCCATATAATGTGATAGCTGAGGATTCTGGCTCAAGGTGCGAAGGTTTTTGTTTGCTTTAAAAAGAATATATGGTTGCTTCTATCCTGATAGTTCCCTCTCATGGACGTTGTGGGCAATTCAGATGATGTGGTTTTTTTAATGTGAGATTTCCATTCTTTTCCTTGCATGCAACCCGCAAAGAAGCTGCGCTGAGATACACTCCTGATGTAGGAGGGAGAATGTTTAGAATGTGATGTTTGCTGAAACTTTAATGTTCACTGTTGTGGACATCATCCTGCGGTTTTGGAGTACCTTAATCTTTGGCTGCGGTCAGTGCTTTTAACCGTGGTATTCTGATACTTCCTGGGCTTTTGCTTAATTTCACATGCTGATTAGGTTTCTAAGGAGAAAATTTGTAGCCTTCCTTTTTAAATGCGTAGATAAAACAGCTGGAAAATGCTATGCAAGGTACTGAAGTTTTTTTCCACGTTTGATACAAACTCTCCATGCAAATTGTCTTTCAGAGACACCATCTTTTAGAGGTGCTCTCTTTGTCAGTATTTTTTTTTTTTTTCCAGCTGGAGTATCAGAATTTGTGACAGTTTTAAATAAGAAGTGATCTCTGTGTGATTTCTTTTATATCTGACAATTCTTTGAGACAGTACTGAATAGTATTAAAATATTGACCTCAAATTCTTGGTCACTTTTAGAATAATTGATAAGTGATGGGGAATAACTGATAAATGCTTGTCGTGCTAGAAGGGACAGTAAAATTAGCAAGGCTGAGGAATTCTTCCTGAGATTCTTGCCTTCGAACTGCTGATAAAATGCTTTACCGGGCTTTCTCGTTAACTTTTCTGATCTGCAGCTAAAGTGAAATGACTTTAAAATGTCAGTTTTATTTTGGCATGTTGTTGTCTCGGTGAACCTGGCTGTTCTGTGAACACGAGGTTGCAGAGGTGGTGAGCGAGTCACCATTTAACATGCAGTTTAATTCAGTGTGGGGTTTGTCTTTCACATAAAAAAAACCCAGTAGTTCACAAAAAAGCTAAAGTTGCAGAGTGATTTTTATTTCTCGTGTTACCTAGTGCACTCGTCTGTATGCATAAATCAGAAGTTTTATGTGTTGTACGTCCTCCGTAAGGAAGTTTGTTTGGTTTACTTGACTGTATTTTTGTGCTTACCGAAAGGCAGCGTTACACGGAAGGATTCGCGTGTCGGAGAGAATTACTGAATGTTTTACGAATTTGCTGATGGTTAGTGGTGGTTCATAATAAAGGGTGCTGCTAACTAACTTTGAGAAGAATTGGTCGGAAGGCTCAAGTCACTCGCACGCCGTGGGTACGTCTGTTTGTGAGATTTTTGCACCATAAAGACTCTGTTTTGTTTTCAGCATTCTTCCATTCTGGGGAGTGTATTTGGTGACTCCTATTATGATCAGCAGATGACAGCTAGGCAGGCTAATGCCCTATCCCATCAGGTGAGCAAATTCATCTCAGATTTTCAGCTATATTTCGGCCACTTTCAGCTTAAAATAAATATAGCTCAACTTCTGATTATTTTATGTGAGATCACATTTTGTCCGTATAGTTTTACTTCTGTTATTTTGAGTTTGCAATACTCGGGGATTTCTTCTCTTCTGTTTGTTTTTGGTTTTTTTTTCTTCCCCCTCCACTCTTCCTTCCCCTTCCTCCCTCTTAGCCATTGTAGCAGATGGTTTTAAAGGTGTTCTGCCAAGTTTATTGGATTAAAAATAATGAAAATAAATTTAAAAAAACCCCCACATCTCTGGCCATAGTTGCATTTGGGAAGGATTCACTTGTAGGTGGTAACAATATTTACTCCTGAATTTGGCGAACAGCTCGTGCATGGTACCAAACCTAGCCAGCAGACCCATCCGTGCGTCCCTTAGTTTGGCCAACCAGTGCACGGACTCCTTCCACCGTGAAATCTGCTCCGGTAGCAGGAAAAACAGCGACGGCTTCTGAGAGGCAATGCTCGATGGGCAGATGCCTGAGTTAGTAGCATGAATTATGGGGTTTTTTTACTTTGTTTTAAAGCTGCCTTTTCTTTTGTTCTTAATATCGAAAGCAACAATTTTATTTTTGCATCTCCCCTCTCCTCATTCCCCCTTCCTCCCCCCCCCCCCCACCCCCCCCCCGAATTTGGCATTAAACTATTCTGGAAAGTTAAGTGAGAATAGACCACATTTTGATCAACGGAACCTAAAGATGAATTTGTTTGCCTGTCTCTTTCAACATTACTTCCCGTCCTTGAGCTTTGTAAGTTGTTTTGCTGTATTTTCTGATGGTTAGAAGTAATAATTCCTTTGTGCCTTGGTCTTCAGCTTGAACAGTTTAATATGATAGAAAACGCCATTAGTTCCAACAGCCTGTACAGCCCTTGTTCCACCCTTAACTACTCCCAGGCAGCCATGATGGGACTTACCGGCAGTCATGGCAGCTTGCAGGACTCGCAGCAGCTGAATTACTCCAGCCATGGAAACATCCCCAACATCATTCTTACAGGTAAGAAAATCACAAGTAAAACCATCCCGGTGTCGGTGTTTCTACTTTGTGGTGCGATGTTAGAAGTAAGCCAAGGAAGGAAAAGGGTGTTGTTGCCTTTGAAGGTTTTGTTTCACCTTGTGTAGATGTTTGTGTTCCCCCAGTGCTGGGGAGCCTGACGCTCTTGTTAATCCCAGCAAATGGGTAGAGCAGCACCAGCAGCACTAGTTGCCTTACAGACTTTCCCCACCTCTGAATTTACTGGCTCCCCTGTCTCAGCAAGGGAGAAGAGGCGAAAGCTTCCTCTGCTGCTCTGGTCCAGCTTGCCAGCAAAGGATTTTTTAGCGTCACATATGGTAGCGAATCTGGTCACAGTTGGATGTTTGGAAACAATTTGTGCACAGGTCACTGAGAAAACTGTGGTTCAGTCCATATTTCAGCCAAGGACTTGCTGATTAGAGTCACGTAAATTAAGGTGGTTGCTTGTAAACTGAAGGGGGAGAAGAGAGACTGAAGTGACCCCACAAAGGTGTATATATGGATTTTGGTTTGTGTTAGGCTTTGAGGTGCTCTGACAGACATGCAACTCATCCAGCTGGAGATGAGGATAGAAGTTTCCCATCTGAACTTAGTTCCATAAATTACTCCAGAATTTTTGCAAGCTGTTTTCTGACTCATCTGCCTGGCGAATATGTATCTGCTCAGTCCTACTGACATCTTTCTCTTCCTCTTCCCTGCAGTGACAGGAGAGTCTCCTCCCAGCTTATCAAAAGAACTGACCAGCTCTTTGGCAGGAGTGGGAGACGTCAGCTTTGACACGGATTCCCAGTTCCCTCTGGATGAACTCAAAATTGACCCTTTAACCTTGGATGGACTGCACATGCTGAATGACCCAGACATGGTCCTCACTGACCCCGCCACAGAGGACACGTTCAGGATGGACCGGCTGTGAAGCGTTGGACACCAGGAGCGTGGGAGTGACGCTTGTTCCTGGCGCCCAGCCGAACTGGAGGGTCCGATGGGTCAGTCGTGTCAGAACAGGAGCTGCTGAGAGCGGTAGCTCTGTCCTGTACAACGTGTACAATGAGTAAAGCTTGTCGTTCTAAGCTTGCAGCGCTGCAGACCCCTACTCCCTGTCGCGCCGTATTTCACCCCTTTTTCCACTCATTGCCATTAATGAGTAAGGAGTTTCCATCAGCCTTTTCCTCTCCAGAGCCCCCCCTTCCCCCCCACCAAAGCTCCAGCGTTAAGTTGTCGATTTATCCTTTGCACTAGAAAGGGGGCGGTTTGGGGCAGGCGAGGCAGGTTCAGAGCTGAGGGTAAAGAGATTCTTTCTAATGTACCAAACTGTTGGCTGCTGTTTGAGACGGGGAGGG